CGGGCCGCAGTGTGCTTGGAAGTATTACTAAAGCTACTACTACTAAAGAAGAGTATACTACTACTTGTAACAATAAGGCAGAATTGCCTGCCTATTGTTCCATGCCATGTCAGGCCTGATAAAGGCCTGACTCACTGATGTATATAGAGAACAGCTCGCCTATAGTGTAGGATAGGCATGTTCTTCTTGTCCTTTTGTACAGACCTATAGGTGTAGGAATCTTATCCTTTTCTATACAGACGCGCACTCCTATATGCCTTTAAGTCGTATAGGATACCTTTTAGATGCCCTACCTACCTAAGTTATTACATTACAAGAAGAATATTATCCTAGCTAGTAACGGCATTCAAGAATATCGCATTTATTGTTATTTTGAGCTACTAATTTAGTTCTAGTAGCTACCTAACCCTGCAACTCTATAGTTAGAATAGCTATTACAACTTCTAATAACCAAAGCCTATAGGCTTAGACTTCTAGACCTATAGGTGGTGCTAGATTACCTTTAGAAAAATCGCGTTAGATTGCGTTAAGGTAGAGACCTAGAGACTACTAAAAGCCTAGAGGAATTAGAGGCAAAGCTAATATCCTCCTACAACCAAACCCCCTAAAAGAAAAGAAAAGATTTATTATTCTTATTAACTATAAAATATTAGACAAAGGTAAAGGAAAGGTATCTAGTTTAGCCACTTTTAAAAGCCTATTTACTAATAGAAAGAAATTAGATAAGGAGGACTTAATTAACAACGCCCTCCTTAAAGGACCCTCTTCCTATCTGTCTCTTAAGGTACCTTGTGCTCCTAGGAAATCTTAAAGCAACACCTCCCTTAAAGATAAATATATATTAACCCTATCTAAAAAGGAGAGGTTAGAGGAATAAGTTAAGTAACTTACTAATTAGTTGTACAACACCTCCCTTTATAAGGAGATATAGGGTACTACCTAACCTAGCTAGTCTTTAGCTTCTATATTAAACCCTATAGTATATACTATAAAAGCTAAGAGATAATCTAAAAAGACGCTAAATATCTCTACACTTAGTAACAGTGCTAATCCTACTTTTAGATAATAGCAAGTATCTATTTAGGATAGGCTAGAGATTAACACTAATTACTACCCCTCTTCTAGAGCTTAGATAGCGTTAGTCTAGGGACACTACTTAGGACTAGCAAGAGAATACTTAGAGCCACGTTACCTATCTAATTTACTAAGTCTTTAATTCTAAAAAGCTAAGGAAATAATTACCCTCCTTTAAACTTACTTTATTACTAGAAATAAGATAGCTAAGAGTTAGACTGTATTTAACCGCCTATATATAACTAATATAGAGACGTTCCCTGCTTTTAAGTTATAATTCTAGAGTCTTGCTATTAGAGGAGAAGTACCCTAATTAGAGTAGTATTACTACCTCTAGATAAAGATTACACCTTCCCTAAGGATGCTAAACCTTACTTTCTAACAGAATTAGCACAATAATTTCAAGACTATAGTAGATTATCTTACTGCTTTTAATATAGAACGCCGCCTATACCCTACCTTATCTGCTCCTACCTAGACTACTCTATTATCTAGAAAAGGACTAACCCCCTTCTAACACTCTAGAAACTAGTCCTATTTAGACGCTAATTAGAAACCCTATAATAGACCTTTAATAGCTAAACCTTATATGCCCTACTTGTAATAATAAGGCACTACCCCTTAAAATAATTAACCCCTATCCACTACGCTAGCCACTCCTAGCGCTACCACAATAGGAACCCTAGTAACTTGCTATAATTATAGAAAGCCTAGGCACTTCTCTAGTAACTACCTTAAACCCCCTAGGATTTAGGCTATAGATATAGAATAGGTTATTAAGAATTCTAAGGAAGAAGATACCGCTAAATTAACTAATTTAGATAGCTATTAGACAGGAAACAATAACGCCTAAGAGGATCCTCCTTCCTAGGCCTAACTTAATATAACCTATTAAACCTTTCCTTAACTAAATTATTTATTAGTTCCTATTTACTTGCATGTATAACCCTATACCTTAATAGATCTAGTGTTTGCCTAAACGCTTTAGTAGATACTAGGGCCTAAGGTTATTTATTTCTTAATTTAAAAATTGCTTATAATATCTCTTCTATACTTAGGGTACCTATCTAAAAGCTACTATATAAGCTTACTATTAAAGGGTTCTAGGATTAGATTACTTCCCTATTTGCCTACTATATTTAGCTTTATATAATAGTTAGTAGCTAAAAGGTTTATAACTACCCCTTTATAATAGTAGACTTAGGTTCTTAGGATTATATTATTAGATAACACTAGCTAAAATAGTTCTAAATCCTAATTAATATAGATAAATCTTAACTTATCTAGCTAGAGAAATATCCTCTAACCTATAACCCCGCACCTCCTATTCTAGTACAACTCTACTAGCAAGTGCTATCTACTCTAGTTACCTATAATATCTTATAAAGAGACGCCCTTTAGGATTAAGAAGAGAACTAGAACTAAAACAGTCCTAGTTTAATTAATAGGATATATAGTATACTTAAAATTCTAGCTACTTATAGGGCTACTACTAAACCTATTACGCTACCTACCCTAGTCTAATTACTAACTATTACCTTACCTATAAAATTCTAAATTGCTACTATTTCTACTAATACTTTCTATTTTAATATAAAAAAATCTTCTAATAAATTCTTTACTACTAGCCTATATAAGATTAAGCGTAGGATCTAAACCCTATCTAAATAGGATACTCTTAAACACAGCTTGTTAGATTAGAAGCTCCTATCTAACTACAACTCCTATTAGGACGTCTTTAACAAGGCTAAGGCTAATAAACTTCTAATCTACTAGCCTTATAACCACAAGATAGTCCTAGAGGAACCCCTTCTAAACTACTAGAGTCCCCTCTATTGTTAAAATGCTAAGGAACTCCAGGCTACTAAGGAATATGTACAAGAGCACCTATAGAAAGGTTTTATTAAGACTAGTTAGAGCCTATTCGCCTCTCCTATCCTGTGTGTTAAGAAGCTAAATAGAGGCCTTAGGATCTGTGTGGATTACTATAAGCTTAACAGCTTAACGCGAAAGGACGCGTATCTAATACCCTATATAGATAATCTATTATCCTAGCTAGCTAAAGTAAAAATCTTTACTAAGCTAGATATTTATACTACCTTTAATAAGATCTAAATAGACCCTAACTTAGAGGAGTACACTACTTTCTGCACTAGATATAGTGCCTATAAATACAAAGTCCTACTATTTAGGCTATATAATAGACCTGCAACCTATTAGCGTTATATAAATAATATACTAATAGATTATTTAGATAACTTCTACATCGCCTATCTAGATAATATCCTTATCTACTCTAAAGACCTTGCTACTTATAAGGACTATATTTAAAAAGTCCTTAAGCAACTTTATTCTACTAGATTATAGGCTAATATTAAGAAAAGCAAATTCTATATAACCTGTACCTGTTACCTTAGATATATCCTTACTAATAGAGGCTTAGAGGTAGACCCTAACAAAGTTAAAGTACTCTAAAACTAGTCCGCTCCTAAGATAATAACTAGAGTAAAGTCCTTCCTAGGATTTACTAGATTCTACTAGCAATTTATAGAAAATTTCTCTAAGATAGCTAAGCCCTTAACTACTCTCTAGAGCCCTACTACCCTATTTGTATAGACTTTAGAATGCTAACAAGCCTTTAACTAGCTTAGGAATGCCCTGCTAGCAATCCTAAGCTTAGCTTACTTCTATCCTAAGTACCCTCTAAAACTAGAGATAGACGCCTCTAATAGAGTTATTATAGCTATCCTCTTATAAGAGTATCCTAATAGGAAATAGTACCCTATATCCTTCTTTAGTTAGACCCTTACTAGTTCTAAACTTAACTAGGAAATCTATAACAAAGAATTGTTTATAATAATCTGCGCCTTTAAGAAATAGCGTGCTAACCTAATAAGTACTTAGCACCTTATTAGAGTATATATAGACTATAGAGCAGTAGAGTACTTTATATCTACTAAAGTCCTTAGTACTAGGCCAGCGTATTGTTCTGTGTTTGGTCAGTTAAAAGGAGACTTATAGCG